CTCTTCCGATCTCTGCTACTACTTCTACTACTACCACCACTACTACTACTACTACTACTACTACTACTACTGCTACTACTGCTACTACTACTACTACTACTACTACTACTTCTACCACTACCACTACTACTACTACTACTACTACTACTACTACTACTGCTCCTGCTGCTGTTGCTACTACTACTACTACTACTACTACGACGACGACGACGACGACGGACCGACCGACCGACCGACCGACCGACCGACCACCGACCGACCGACCGACCGACCGACCGACCGACCGACACCGACCGACACCGACGACGACGACTTCTTACGACTACTACTACGACGTCGACTCAGAGTAATGAGTATTTCTTGCGAAAGAGGTCCGCAGGTTCGTACTCAAGACACACACACGCACACGACGCGATACTTTCAGAGAGCTGAGTGGCTTTGAAGTCGACGCTGCGAACATTCACTACAACTGCTCTGTCATCGCACTTCATGTTGTGTAGCACAAAACTGAAAGGATCGATGTTGTCCTTCACCACGTAATCAGAGCCAGCGACCTGCAACAGACTCAACAGAGCAGGAGGCTGCAGACGACTACGGCTCCAATGTTCTTATCACCTTGCTGTGCTTTTCTGGTCACTGTTATGCTTATAGCAGCAGCGGGATTGGCATCAGATCTGTTTTTGTTTGAGCATGTGATGGCACTTTCGCCCAGGCGATTGCAAACGACTGGCAAAGCGAGGAGATAACCTGCGTCGCAATGAATGCGCCTTGTCGTGGAGAACCACTTCAACGCGAAGCATAGCTATGATTGTGTCGGTAACCACTGCCAGGTACAGTCTGCTCAAAAGAGCCTCCAACACGTCACTCAATCGACTGGGTCGTCCGAGTGAAAGTTTGTTGTCCAATGTGGTCGGGGTTTTCTTGCGATCGACATCCGGGGATACTTGAGGAAGCTGATGAGAAAAATCTCGGGATCTAAACTCTGCATACTAGTACCATATATCTATATATATATATGCATAGTGCCGTGTTTTTAGTAGGAAGCAGGGGTCCTTAAGCAGGTTCCTACATTGAGGCGAGGCAGACTTTGTCTTGCTACTGGCTACGACTGGTTGAGCCTCTTTCGCTTGTGTTTAGCAATGTATGCTTTCACATTCATAGCCGTAGCCGGACCCAGAGCTACAATCCTAAACTCATGAGAGCAGCAGCCTCTGGCAATCACATCGACCTCATGTTCCCAGACACCCTTAACCCAAACCCTAGAAAGGCTTGCTGTTTTTTTGCGCTTCTTGCCTCGTCATCGAGACTGAAGGTTATCAGGTTTTAAGGTTTAGCCCTGTGAGAGAGAGAGAGAGAGAGAGTGAGAGAGTGAGAGAGTGAGAGAGAGAGTTTCAGGGCTGAGGGTTGTGCGACTTCGGGAAAAGTTTGGGGTTGCAGCGGGCAGCTGTGTCATGAACGTTCCGGACTGGCATCAGTCACAAACTTAGTCTTTGGCACTGGCTTAAGGATTCCACTGGTTTTAAATACCGGCTGGTGCGTTTTTGGAAGCCCTGGGCTGAGATCTCGCCAGGCCCTTGGAGGCAGAGAGGAGGATGTTGAAGGCTTATCGTATTTGCATATCGTAGTGTATTATAGTATATGTTATATATTATAGTATATGGTTTGGGGAAGTTCAAGCTCCAGGCTTTGGGGGGCTCGGGTTTTCGGCCTTTAGCTGAAAGCAGCGTCCAGGACCACTATGTCAAGGACCAGCACCTGGGCGAGCGGAGGTTTGCGTCGGGTGAGTTTGTTGAAGCCGCAAAAGCAAGCCGAACAACATGATGCAGCAAAAAACTGTACGAATTAAGATCAGGCAGCCAGGTTGAAGGTTGTTGACTAACACAAGCTGGTGCTGTACCAGTCCCATACAGTCATACAAGACACTTACGGCACAGCTTGCGATGTTTTCTTTTCTCAGGGGGGTCCTGCAGAGTTACCATCGACTGCAGATTCGGAAATGTTGACTTGGCTACCCTCGGCCATCTGACCTGAATCCATGATTTTCATCTCGAGCCGTCCTCATGAAGTATACAGAGTCACGGTTGATGGACTTTTCACATACGCTACCTTAGCAGTCGAGTAAGTAACCTTTACCTGTTTCGGTTGGGGGTTTGTGGAATGGGTTGTTGACCTTCCTCCGTAGTACAACCCCCATACAATCCTGAAGTCTAAGCCTTAGTTAGTTCCGCCGAGAAAACGGCTTGCGCTGAACCGAGGAGAGCTGTCAGGCAACGATGATCGCAAACATACAGAAGGCTACATAAGACGGTGACGACGAAGAGCCTCAGCAAGGACGTAACACAAATAACACAGCAGCGTGGCAGCACCAACAACAGCAACATGAACGGTTCTACGTGTTGACAGCGTGAAAGGGGAGAGTCATCAAGGACCCCTCCAGAAACAAGCGGGAGCCTTACCGTAAACCCCGATACCCCACACAGCTGAGGAACTGCCCCAGAGAGTTCTTGATGAACAAGAACAACCGCGTGCTGGAACTCCCGGCTTCGAAGCTCAGGGTGTAGGGTTTGGTTTTACTGTGGTTTTCAAGGACCTTGTGGGGCTCTACTACAAGGCTTATAGGGATTAGTGAAAAGGGGTGGCAGGGAAATCTTTGTTGAGGATAATAATAACTAATTAGGAACATCAACCATGATCATCCTAGCGAGATAAAATGGTACTGCTACTGCTGCTGCTGCTGCTGCTGCTACTACTACTACTACTTCTGCTACTACTACTGCTGCTGCTACTGCCACTGCTACTGCTTGAATCTAGAGACTTGACTGGTCTCGGGAGACGAGAGTGTCCCGGTATCCCTCATAATCACATGCCCAAT